ATGCATTATTTGCTCATAACTTTTTAAAGAATGGTCCGATTTTGAAAATTTCTTTTACATTTCGATAGGTATTCGTAAGCACTACCAAATGGCCATTAAACTTTAACAATATCTGTAAAGGTGAAGGAGCCAGGTTTTTTTTAAAGACCTTGAAGACAATAGTCTCTAAAAAAATGTAAGCTTCTTTATACGTACTGAGAACTAGCCTTTAAATAAATAATTATCCTTGTTCTAAAGGACATATTTATTAAAATATTCCTTTCTAATGCCGTCATGCAGCTGCTGTCAAAGTTTATTACCCATACGCAGCGTTGCCATTGTTGGCTTTACTTTATTACTAATACGCAATGTTGGCTCTCCGACTTTTACAGCTTGTTAACTCATTAAAATCAATGAGCAGCCGACAGTCATTAAAAGCATATCAAGCTGGTGTACATGGTTATGTTTTGTTTGGCTTTTTAATGCATTTCCTAATTTTGGCGTTGAACGATACTATTTTAACGAATCAGAATTTAATTGGCTAACATGGCTAAAGAAATTTGATTTTAATTTGACCAAATGTAACGATGATTAATTCACTCGTCGGTGGAAAATTAAAATGTTTTTGGCAGCAAATGCGTACGTATGGTTTTATGTTGAGGCCAACAGGAAGTGACTCGAATGTAATGATGATTGACTAATTGGTCAACGACAGCTGAAAGAGCAGCATTTGAATATATTTTTGCGCCATTATGAAGCTGACTTTTTGATGAACAGTCAATGAATTGAGGGAAACCGCAGTCTGAGGAGAAAATGAATAAATTAATACGTTGAAAGTCGCTTTCAATGGAAAAACGCAATTTTCTCTTCAAAACAAATAGCAATATAAATGCTTTTGGTAGAGAAAAACAGCTTAATGGGCCTGGACAAATTGATAGGGCATATTGTGCCTGCCCAAAATATCGTCCTTTGTGTGCAACTTAAATGTGCAGCGAGCGTAAAAATTCAAGCCTCATCAGCTTAGCGCTTAGTGCGGCCATTTACCCGGAAAATCTCCGGTAATTGGAGGAAAAAAAATAAATAAAAAATCAATTAATTGAAATCGTGCATAATGAATGTCGGACAAACGTGTTTACAAGCCCGAAAAGGCAAACAAACCGATTTCCGATGACAAAATTACTCATTTACAATGCAATTTTGAGGCTGCACATCCGAAGAATCTGGGTTGTACATAGGTTGTATATGCGCCACCAGGCATATATTTCATATATTACATACAAATTACAATGTATCCCCGTTGCCTTTGTTCCGTTGGACAGTAAATCATTGACCGAAATTGGTGCGCTTCACTGGAGAGCTGGGCAAACACGGCGTAAATTAATAAATATTAAAATGTCCAGCCATGTCCTGGAACTCCTGCCTTTCCTCCCCCGCTTCTCCTGACTTACTCATCTGGCACTTGAAAATGAACAAAGCGATAAAAAGCACAAAACACTCAGCCAGAGGAGCGGAGTGGAGAGGAGAGAAGGGAAGATAGAGCAAACAAACTTCTGAGCCATTACACAACAAAATGGCGTTAAAAGTCCAGCAAAAATGGCGAAAAACTGTATGGTACTCGCACCAGTGATATCCTTCTGGGATTTTCCACTTAGCTTAAAATACCCCGTTCTCAGCGGTGCCAAAATACCCTGGGCAAATGGTGAAAACCCGGCGAAACAATATATAAACAACAATTCAAATGCAGACAACACTGGCAAACAAACACACGCTGCAAGTATTGAAATAATATTTTTACATTTCATGTTTCCAAAAGGTTTATCCAGCCAGCAGCCAACAGCCAGCAGACGGAAGTGAAAACTCTCTAACGGCGGCGGACAAACAACAAAAAAAGAGTGCAGAAAAAGCAAGTGCAACCACAGACGGACAAACGGACAGGCGGAAATACGGACAAACGGACAAACGGACAGTTGGACAGCAGAGCACCACAGGGAACCGCCCAGAAATATGCAATGATAATCAGAAAAGCAAACACGAAGTGGGAACGACGACGACTCCATGAGGGCCATCAGGATCAGCATTTGCATCCGCATCCGCATCAACGTCAACATCAGGAGGCGAAGTGCTGTTGGTTTGCCCATTGGTTTCACCATTGGCTGCTGATGTTTCTGATTTCGGAGCTCATCCGCCTCTGTTTGCCAGTCAATCAATGCACAGGGAGCACTGTGGCAGCACCACTGAGCCACCAAACCACCGAACCAACGAACCACTGAACCACCATATGTGTGGCTTTTGCTTTCGGTGCGATGGAAGAGCAAGAACCACAGGAGCAGCGATAATTGTGATGGATTAATTGGCCAGGCCGGACTGAGCCACATTATTTAGATGCTCTTTTTGGCCAAGAACGAGGCTAGAGGATTGGCAACAGGTCAATTTAGAGAGAGGAAAGGAATAATACTACATAATCATAAATAGATAATAATAGTAATATACGTTAACAAATTCAGGATAACCATTAGATAAATTACAAATAAATATATAATTCGACTATAATTACTTAACTATCCTCATTATCAGCCATAAAAAATACAATCAAATTAGCTGCTGCCGCTGCTGCACTTTTACATATTTCCTTGACCTGCATCATTTACGAACTTCTCGCTTACCACTTCACTATTTATTTATTTATTTACATGCAACATTTCAATTAAATTTCAATTTATTTCTGCAAGCTCATTGATTATGCATGGCAATTAATTTTATGCAATTTTCAGTACGCAATATTTTCAATTAGTCTGTGGGGTCTGGAGAGCGGAGGGCTGAGGACCGGAGGACTAGACAGCATAATATGCTAACTAGGTATTCAATCCTCCTACCAGTGCCGCACCCACTCGTTGTAATTAATACAGGGCCAGAGATTGGATGGCTTCGTTGCTGGGAAAAGGATTATATGGAGCAAAGGGGATTGGGGGTTGGGGATATGATACCAAAACAGAGGCAGGCATATTGAATGTCCGAGGAGCAGACAATTAGTTGCTCATGTGACAAATGCAAGGCCAGGGAAAATAAAGTGGGCCCAACAAAGGAGGAAAAACGTAGAGCGGGATGGCATCTAAAATTGCATTTAAATAATGAAAAAGGCTTAAACAAAAGGCCGGCCAGACAAAGGCGAACTGCAGCCAAATGGCCAACAAAAGTCGAAATGAGAGGAGAGGATGGAGAATGGAAAGGAAGGAAGCGACCGAAGGTTGAAAGGAAGGAAGGAAGTAACTTGGCTCAAATCAAGAACATGTAAATACAGTCAGGCCAACGTTTGACGCTTGGCTAGCCACTGTCCAAACTACTGACCCCTGACCCCTGACCCCTTGTCCACTCCGAGAAGAGAATTGTAAATTACAGTTGCATTCATTCATTCATTCATTGGCAAACCCTCCCTCTTTCGGGGGATTCATGAATAAATGATAGCTCAACTCTGCTGCCACTCTGTCATCAGATATGGCACACAAAAATATATGTATATGTTGGAAATTTGAGACTCACCTCATTAGCACTTTGTTTGCTCCGGCCACGCGGCGTATGCGTAATAAGCGACATCACACCACCGAACGGACACCGAAAGCGAAGCAAATAAGAAGCTAATTAGGCGCTGATTGATGCCTCCTGATGGCCATTTGCCATTGGCCATTGGCCAGGCAACACAATATGGTAATGAGTGTTGCACTATTGGGGACTCGGGAACTCTTGGCTAATGGGAACAAGCCAGAAATGTCCCGAAAAGATATCCGAATGCTGCCAAGGGGAATTGCATAACCATTCTGCCTCTGAGGGTTTGGGGGGTTGGAAACCGCAGTGAGCAGGCGACTGGAACTAAGCGCCTTAAGGCAGCTCCTCTTCCATCCTTCCATCTCCTCCATTCATCAGCTGCCAGTTGTCAGTTGTCAATTGTCAGTTGTCACTTGGCTGCCTCATGTGGCCTGCTAATGCGATGCGTTGCGTTGCGACGCGCATCTGAATGATGCAGCAACTGCAAATCGCCGGCTGCGAATGCCAACTATGTAGCTACTGGCAAACTGGCAGGGCCAGATAGGCAGATTTGGATTCGCATTCGCATTCGTATTCGGATTCAGAGGCAGTGGCACAGAGAAGAGAGGAGAGTGGAGGGGCAGGGACAGCTCACTAATTGCCACCGAATGGAAGGCAGACGGAGTCGCCACCCATGAGATCGCGTTAGTTATGTTGTTACGTTGGGAGGAGCTTAAAGCCCAAGGTCCTTGAAAAGTCTTTAACCGAAATGCTGAAAACGCACTTGAGCACTTTGGCAAAATGGGTCAATCCATTATGAGGAAACCAAAAACCAAGTACAATAATGCAGTTTTAATATTCAAATCAATTTTAAAGAAGAGAGAACGCAAGTACATACATTTCCGATCGATTGGCATTTAAACCTGGACCTTTTATTTTATTTCAATCGCTCGCAAAAAATCATTATAAAAAAATTGAAAATTTTATCTTACCAACATCACACGGAAAGTTCCATGGATTTATTTATTATTTTGTTATGTGTTCAAAACAGTACGTATTTTTGGAGTAGGGCCATTTTTGGCCAAGTTACACCAAAAAAACAAACAAAAAAAATCAAATTTTTACCAAAAACCCAGAATCCAATTTTTCACAAAAAAAGAATTCGTTTTTTGACCGTAACAAAGGAAATATTAACCTTCCTGAATTTGTTATTAAATTTTCAAACGATTTGCATTTAAACCTGGACAATTTATTTTTTAGCCATTTTTCGTACAAAATCATGAGGTACCCCCTTATAAAAAATATTGAAAATTGGCGAAAATTGTATTTCTCCAAGATCACCCGGAAAGTATCATGGATTTTTTTATTATTTTGTTATCTGTTCAAAACAGTATTTATTTTTGGTGTAGGACCATTTTTGGCCAAGTTACAGCAAAAAAGAAACAGAAAATATTCCCATTTTTACCAAAAAACCCAGATGCCAATTTTTCACATAAAATTAATTCGTTTTTTGACCTTTCTGAACTCGTTATTTTTTTAATTTTACAAGACCTGTGAAAACCTAATGTGAGTGCCCTTCTTTTTCAATTCTCCCCAACTGGCGAAGACCGCGCCACAGGATGATGTCCCGGATGGCCTTCAGCATCGGACGGAGCTTGGTGCGCTGCCAGTGCATATTGTCGCTGCCGCGCTCCAGGAGGATCTTGATCAGCTGCTCCATGCCGTGCATGTCGCGCAGGTTCGTGTGGAAGAACTGGCTGAAGAACTCCAGCTCCTGCGAAGTGGACAGCCGCTCGATCAGCGGCCGCAGGAGGCTGACCACCTTGTTGGTGGAGTTGCTGCAGCTTTTTTGGATACAAAATAGAAAGCTCTGATTCCATAGCGATTCCCATAGCGATTATCACTCACAAGTTGCGTATCTGCTGCATGTTTCCCGTCACATACTTCTTGGCCAGGCCGTAGCCCACGTCGTTGGCCACCACCGAGCTGAAGGATCGCCTGGCGTTGTGCTTGCGAATGCCCACGCTCTCGAAGGTCCACTTGAGGACGCGTTCCAGGGCGAAGGCGTTGCGCGAACAGGCCAAAGCGGTCAGCAGGGTCTCCTGCTCGGCGGCGAAGTTGGAGCGCTGGTACATCGACTCGACGGCATCCCGATCCGCCTCGGTTCCGAACTTCACCGCCGTGCAGAAGACCGTCTCCCGCTCGGCGATGGTCATCCAGCCGGCCTTCACCGGCGTCTCCTTGGCGAATTCCCGGCGGGCCAGGCTCACGCAGGCGGGCACCTCGTACTGGCAGGCCAGCCGCAGGATCACCGGTCGGTGGGTCATGTTCCCCGAGGAGTTGGTGAGGTACGAGGATTGCACCCGCTCGAACTGACGCTCCAGCAGGAGGCGCATGTAGCTCTGGTTGGAGGAGTGAGGAGTCAGGAGCAGGGTTCAGAAATTGACACACATGTTACAAACATGAAAAAACGTATTTTACAAAATACAAAAGTGTTAAAATGTGAAAAATAATTGTTAACACACAGCTCACTTGTGTTTTTTACACAATGTGTTATTAACAGGACGTGTTTTTTACACACTGTGTTTCTAACACAAATGAAAATTACATTTCACTGACATTAACGAGTCGAAGGGAAAATGAAAACCATTAACCATTTCAAAGCATATATGAATTCTTATACTCTAGAAAACCGTGCAATTTTCAGTTTAACATACAATTCCGACACTTTGATGTCAAAAACTCATTGTGTTAAAAACACGCTGTGTAAAAAACTCGTCATGTTAATAACACGTCGTGTAAGTAACACGACTGACATGTGTGTGTTATTTATGTTTCTAGCAAATGTAGAATACAATTTTTTACACAAAAGTCAATAGCTTTTGTAGGCCTTAGCACTTTGACATTTAACGTGTTAATAACACAGGTTTTTTACAGTGTGTGTTATTGGATTATCCCACCTTGTACACCCGGTAGTGGTGGTTCTTCTTGGCCACATTGTTGATCCGCTCGAAGTTGACCTGCGTGGCGTCCCACACGACATACTCGTCCTCGTGCTCCAGATAGCCGATGATGCCCAGGGCCATCGGGTACTCCATGACGCCGCTCCAGGCGAGGTTAAAGAGATCATCGACCAGCTGGGCCCGGTTCACGCGATGGATCTGCCGGAATGCCGTGGGATCGGCGAGCGTTTCGTTGAGCAGCTGCCAATTGCGCAGGTCGTAGTTCACGCGAAACGGAGCCGAGTGTCGGACGTTGAGCAGCAGCCAGTCCTTCGGCCCGGCCATCAGTTTCTCCAGCCGCACGGACTGCAGGCGACCCTGCGGTCCGTGGATCGAACAGGTGAGCCAGCGGCTGGCCGTGATGCTGTCCAGGTGACGGCAACTGGGGCACGAGTAGGTGAGCGGCACCCACCAGCAGGGATTCTTGGCCACGGCCCGATGCTTCAGCTGCGGACTGATGAAGAAGCGCTCCTGCCGCACCAGAGCCGAGCGATCCTCGTAGTTCCGGGTGACCAGGAGCAGCGGGTAGCCCGGCTGCTTCAGCCACGAGGTCATGATGCGCGTGATGTTCAGACCCTTGCCTAGCAACCCGTTGCGATCCACCTGCAGCTGTAGGATGTCCCAGAAATCCGAGGAGGTGGCACTGCTGTTGGCATACTTCACCAGATAGCGACGCACCCCGGCCAGCCAGGCATCCTCGCCCATGATGCGGTGCAGCATGTCGAAGAGCACGGCCGCCTTGCGCTCTCCGATCTCGTTGTAGGCCGACCAGATGTGAGCCTCGTCGGGCACCTGGGCCGCCACCAGATCGGTGTTCACATGGGCATCGTAGTCGAGCACCTGCAGGTAGAGCTGCAGGGCATGCCGCTCCATGTAGTCCCACTCGGGACGCAGTTCGTGCACCCCGAAACGCGAGAGGTACAGGGCGAAGGCGTTCTTTAGCCAAACCTCGTGCCACCAGACCACCGAAACTAGGTTTCCGAACCACTGGTGCACCACCGTCACGGCCACCGCTCGGGTAACTCCCTGCTGGTCACTCATCGAGCTGAGTTCCATGTCGTAGAGGACCGACTCCTCGGCGAAGGTCGGCAGGCCCCAGTTCTCCTTGGCCGCAAAGGCAAAGTCCGGCAGGGCCAGCAGGTCGATCTTCATGAGCCGCAGGCTGTTGTTGAACAGCCGCTCGTAGAAGTCGAGCAGCGGCTTCACCAGAATGTTGGCGAACTGCGTCTGCGGCAGGGCGTCCGGGCGGGCCCACGTGCTAATGGGACAGCCCTCGCGCTCATTGGACGTGAAGCCCGGCCGCTCGAACTTGCTGATCGAGAAGGCCACCAGGTACGTCTGCATCGGATGGCTCTCCAGGAACTGCGTCCACACGTAGTCCTTCAGGCTGGAGCTTTGGTGGGAGGGGGTTGAAAGAATTCAATACACTGGAACTATGCCCCTAAACTTTATCAAAATGGGGTTTATCAGTGATCTAAGGTCCGTAGTTAGGTCTTTAAATAATCTTTAAACTATCTTGCATTGGGCACACGTCGATTCTTCTTTGTGTCGCACATGCACTGCCATGCGTATTGAGCTTTGAGCACACCTGCTTTGAACAAAAAGTATCGCGAATTCTTAAGAACTTGAAAACAACTTCAAAAGAAGAGAATTGAAGGCAAAAAAAGCTTAGCGCAAAAGGAATCTGAAGGTAACCTCGCCTTCTTTTATAAAAAAATATCGCGAATTCTTAAGAACTTGGAAATAAATTCAAAAGAAGAGACTTTAAGGCGGCAAAAGCACCCCTGCTTTTAACAAAATTAATCGCGAATTCTTAAGAACTTGGAAACAATTTAAAAAGTAGAGACTTGAAGGCAGCAAAAGCACCACTGCTTTTAACAAAAAGAATCGCGAATTCTTGGAACTTGGAAGCAACTTAAAAAGCAAAGACTTGAAGGCTTAAATTCTCGAATTCTTCAGAGTTTAGACCAATCGAAATTCGCACTCAGGAGGTAAAAACTGCAATCACAGAACCCTCATTCGCAATCTCAATCATAGAACTCACTGGCGGATGGTCCGATTGACAGGCATGTTGGACAGGGCGCGGTACTCGTGCGGGTGGGCCAGGTTGATCGCGAAGGGGGTCCTGAAGATGGGATCGTCGAAGCAGGGGAAGGCCTCGCGGGCGTGGATGGGCTCGAATTGGGTGGCAGCCAGCCACTGGGCCAAAGTGGTGTTATGGTCCACGTAGCTGCTGCTGTAGAACCCCGTGTTGTCACTCCTCAGGACACTGGTGAAGGATATCTTCAGCGTGTACGTGGTGTTAACCACAAGCGAGCTCTTCAGGTGGACAGTCAGCCGGCAGAGTTTGCTATCCGTCTCTATGTGACTGACCGTCACCGGTTTTCCCCGCTTGGCCACCAAACTTACGGATTTCCGCTTGCGAATATTCAGCTTGCGGGCATTGAGAACCAGACTCTTGGTGGGCCGCTCCGATCTCAAATCAATAACTACCTTGCCGCCGAAGGGCTGATAGGGCTGGTTGATGCGCGTCACAAGGTCCAGGCGGTACCGCAGCGGCACCACCCACCGCGGCAGGCGGTTGACGGTGGTTTGACCCTCCAGTCGCGGAAAGAGGGTGGTGAGTAGTGCCAGGTAGCCCAAGTGCATGACTTCGCAAACATCTAGCTTCTTTGCTTGGCTTTCTTTCGATTCGCTGGGGGCCAGGGGTGTGTCTAATTAATTTCCATTCGATTCGCCAGACCCCTTGAAAGTACACTAGACTCTAACTAACTCGATATGAAACGTAGATCGTTTTTACATTATTTTAGATAAATTTTTAAATTGTAAGGTAAATTTGAACTGGTCGAAAAGAGTATTTCATGTAAAAACGATATGGGTTATGGATGACCTGTAATTTACATTTACATTACACCTTTTTGATACCCTGTATTTCAATATAAATTGGAGTAATAGTCTTTATAATAATATTTCAATAGCGCTCTTTAAAGTCTCATCAGCAAATTAATTAATAATAAGCAGTTGTCAAGGTAGTTAAAGCACCATAACCTTTTCAATAACAGAAATAAAAATATAGATTATTACAAAACATTCGATTACTCTCCATTGCCCCAATATTCATACAAAAGATGTAATAATTCGGAATTTGTAAGGCTCCTCGATGAAATCTGAATCAGAATTTGTGGTTTTCATCTGTTTCGCAGATGGAAGGAAAAGGAATCCAATCGAATTCGCACTCATAAAGCGGTTGGGTGGAGAAAGGGGCGACAAACCACAGCACAATGTCATTAGCGCATGTTGGTCTCCTCTTTCACTCGTTATCTTTGTTTGAGTCCGTGTGCGTGTGTGGGCTTGGCAATAAATTTCCAATTTTCGTGCAATTTTCGCAGAACATGCGGCACACATACCTATAGAGGTGGTCCGTGGCTCGGAGAGTTGGGCTGTCGGGTTGTTGGGTTTTAGGGGCCAGCCTGGCGTACTCATAAATACATTGACCAATAACATAATTTTTGTTTGTGTTGGTATATTGCCAAATGACCTCGTTACCCCGGTGGGAAAACGTGGAGCAATCGAGGGGCAAGCGAAGCAGGAAAATCACTGCCACAACACGACACAAAAAGGCGACAAAGGGAGCAAACGTGCGGCATATGTTGCTGTGTGGGTGGTTATGAGGAGAAGGCGGAGGGGGCGGAGTAGGCGTGTCCCTGGCCCTAGCGGAAGTCAGCTGAGGCCCCTCAACGTTCGCTTCGCTCGCAGTGCGGCATTATAATTAATGGGCATGTTGGGGCATGCGACCCGCATTTCCCAACTACCGACCTTTCGTATGCGATTTGGGATATTAAACGGCGAGACAGAGACAGAGACAGTTGGCTATGAATACGACATGTAGTCCCAGCACTGCCCACTAGGTGGAGCCCGTGCGGCGGCTGCTGCTGCTGATGATGATGATCACATGCTATTAAACCGCAATACAATAGCAATTTTCAAATAAATGATTTATGGCTCTGGACATGACACACACAGCTGTCGTGTGTGTGTTCGGACTGCTGGCAAATGCCAAAACTGCCGCAGTCCGTTGCTGCCATAAACCAAAAGGCCCGGCAAAAAAAAGGGGAAAAACAGGAAAAAGAAAGGGAAAAGCATGAGAGCCAGAAAAACTGAACAAACCGAGAGCCAAATGCCCAGCGGAAGGTAAGAGGTGCTGACTGAGATGCTGAAAGTGGGTGCCGGTGGGTTTTGATGCATGGCCCAGGGTTCAGTAAGTCGACTTCGGCCGATTCGGCCAATTGTTCGGACTGCAGTCAGTGAATTAAGCCAGGCCAATTGCCACATGGCCGCATTGTGAGCCAAGAATTTCCCACGATTTCCTAGCACTTTTTAGAAGGCATACACTTCACTTTCGATGAGTGATGATGGTAGGGCCTCTGTTCTCTAGACTACAGGTACTCATAAGCTAATATAAAAATGTGGTATTAACCTAAAACTAAATAATTAAAATTCTATACTCAGTAGTATTAATTTAATAGGAAATATTATAAACTTAATATTTTGTAGTTTCATTTGAATACCGAAAGTTGCAATTTAATACTTTTAAGAGTATTCATTTAATACTCATCCTATTGATGCAAATTTGACACTCAATAGTGTAGAATTCATGTAACAATAGTTTCGTTTCTATGACTATTTTTTTTGGGTTTAGCTGACTTCTCTGAACGACAGTCTTGCTTTGGGTTATATCCATTAGGTTAATCGTCTAAGATTTTGATCAATTTAAGCGGAGAAATCCTGCAGTCATAACGTCACTCCTGTGCTTCCTGTCCAAGTCGCTTTCGATTGATGGAACTGATGTGAGATTGTTGCCCAGGTGTTATCCTCCGATGCTCGTCATCTTCCAGTTGGCATGCCCATCTACTCACATATCACGTGCTGGCATGTGTACCCAATGTGAGGGATGGCAATCTGTTGATTTGGCCACTTGGCGTGGCACACTTTGCGACTCAAAGCGGGAAAACTGAAAGTCGAGAGCCGAGAAAATGATGATTCCTCCTTCTGGCGGCGACTCCCCATTCAGCCTCCAGCCGCTATTAAGTCATAACATTTATATTTGCCTTTTTTATACCCTGACAAATCAGCGCACAGAAGTGGAAGGAAAAGTTGAAATGCTGAGAAGGTAATGGGAACGGAAAGGGGAACTGTCATTGCCAAGAAGGCGACGGGTACATTCACCTGTCCCAAACACACAGCTACACACCCATCACCCATCAGCCATCAGGCAGCCACGGTTATGTCTCCATTTGGTGTGCGTTGTGCTGCTGCTGCTGCTGCTGCTGTTGTAAATTTTAATGCAAAACTCGTTTATAAACACACAACCGGCAAACGAGGCGAGTGGAAGGAAGGGCATATTCAGCGGGGAGAAAGGCAAACGACATCGTCATTTTCTGCTCAAACGTTTGCGTGACAGCACCACCCAGCAAGTCGGCCGCCCAATCTCTAACCACCCATCTCGCACCACCCCCAAAAACAGCCATCATTTTACCGCCACCCCCCGGCGCCACCCGCCAAGTTGGCTGCCATTTTGACAGATGCCAAACGCAAAGCGAGCAGCAAAGCCCCACATTTTTTATTTGTCTCTCTGTTGCTGTTGGTTTGCTTGGCTGGAAGGCAAATGGCCGAAAAGCTTACCGAATCATCGAAGGGAACAGATACCCTATACAAATCCGCCTTAAGGAAAATTTGATATGAAACGATGAGCCATTTTATGTGGCATCAATTTTGACTCGATATGCGGCATATCAATTCGATGTGCTCGAAATGTTATCAATTTGTGCCTTTCTCTCTCCCACTCATGTCACTTTAAGCGCTATCCCGCTCTATTTTGAATTAAAAGAATTAGTTTTTCTCGCTCCCACTCACGTAATTTAAGTCGCTCTCTTTTTTAAAGTCATAGAATCTCCGAGAGAGAGAAATTGACAAAATTATATTATTTAATATCAATTTGACCAGTATTGCATGGTAAAAACGACATGCGTATAAATACCAGAAATTTACCATGAGCATATCGAATTTTTCCCGGCGTCTTTCCTTTCCAAGAAATTGTAAGAAAAGAAACATTTACCTACCTATTTTAAAAGTTAATAAACGAAGTATTTTAATAAGTAGATATAAATTACATAAATAATTTAAGAACCTTATGAAATTAATTGTATTTCGGTTATTAGAATGTAGTTCCTAAATAGCAATAATTAAGTATTTTAGAACATTTTATTACCTCTTTGACATTAGTTGGTATTGAAAATAAACATTGCCAAGAAAGGCAAATGGAATATTTTGCAACACACAAAAATGGCAATATTCCCAGCGTTATAGGGTGCCAATAACAACAACCAGGGCGAAAACAAAAGAAGTAACCTGCGGGGCGAAGTTTACGGCTCTGCCTCGGACCATCGTTAGTTGGTTTTTACGACTCGTAACGCTCCTGACCCCCGACCCCATACCTCCGCCTCCACCTCCACCTCCGGTAACCATAAAGATTAATACCAAAGACCCAACGCCATCCGGAGCGATAACAGTTGTGAGGTCATTGCAGTGGCTCGCAAACTGTGGCAATCGTTATTATTGCAATTTCATTAGATGAAAGCCGCAAAAATGAAATAATTAATGGCAGAGCGAAGCAGAAATAATTGTTCGATGCCCGGGGGGGTGGTAATTCCCGGGCTCCAAAACGTCCAAATACAAAGCGGAGTGGGTGAGGGGTTAATGATTTATAATTTATCGAATTGAACAAAAATTATAACAATTAAATGGCGAATTTCGATTGCAATGGCAATCTAAGCGCTCAATTAATTACTAATGGGATTAACAATTGGAGACAAAAGAGCTACTTAAATGGAGGAGAGTGAGGAATGTTAAGTGGAGACGTCATTGAAGCGGGGAATTTATTCAAAATGTTACCTTATTGTCTGGCAAACAATTGATGGGAATGTAGTGGAAAAAAAAATAAAATGTATTGAAACATATGCTTTTCACGGTAATAATGTTATAATGACATTCTAGATAATTATATTGCATTCTTGTTGCATTTGATACATATGTTGCTTCATATTTTACATTGATCCGCTGCCAAAATCTGGAAATTTGAGCCAACCCGAAAGAAAAAAATTAGATATGAAATAGGTTCATTTCTACCTTATTTCATATCAATAAAAACCCGATATGATTAATGTCAACTTGATATTTTATCATTTCATAAAAGTTATCAAAATACTCTTTTGAAAATACCAAATTTAGTATTTTTTTAATTTTTATTGTAAAATAAGATAAACATAATCTTCACTAATGTCTAAATGATATGAATAACATGATCTTTTAAAAATATCAAATTAATCTGAACATATCAATCTGATCTTTTGTCAATTTTTTATGAAATGGGGGAAAAAACCCCATAAAAAGTTTTGCAATTGCTTAAACGTGCCGTTTGGGCCGCATCATAAACTAGGAGCAAACTTACACACTGATCTGCCTTTTCAGTTGGGAGCTTTAAAGGCTTTAAGTTCGAATTGCATTCCCCAAATGTCAGGCATTCTGGAGGAGGTCAGGGGCTACGGGGGGCCAAAGTGCAGGGGTGGGGTTTTCGTGTGCCACATTAGCCA